GGATAACCATTTGTCTGAAATGTTATAGTTTCCCAGCTGAGCAGGGAGTTGAACTACAAGACCCCCAAGGTCCCATCCAACTCTTTTATTCTGTTATTATTGTTTTTTTAAAAAAATATGAAGTTTCCTACAGACACAGAGGTAAAGCTACTGTAATATTACACCCCGCAATCCTACAATTCTCTCTCATCATCTCATGCCCCAAAGGCCAGGCTAATCAGGCATTAAGCTGGTTTCCAATGCTACCAGCTATAATCAAAACCAAACGGTGGTTTGATAGATATTTGATAGATAGATATTTGATAGATATTAGGTAGATAGATAGATAGATAGATAGATAGATAGATAGATAGATAGATAGATAGAGATAGATAGATAGATGATAGATAGATAGATAGATAGATAGATAGATAGATAGATAGATAGATAGATAGATAGATAGATAGATAGAGCTTTCTTTATTTGAGTCTTGCTGTAAAAACTGCTACCAGCAATATTTTAGAGAAGTCGGATGCAAACTCTTAAATAAGTAAATAAGAGGAAAGACGGAATACGAGCACGATTGTACAAAAAGCCAATGGATTTATTTCTAACGTCTTCCTGCCCCGAGTAGGAAGCAGACGCTTAAAATCAAGAATATTGATAGATATTGATGCCACGGCAACAAATATTTTTATGGGGGGGGGGAACCCATTATTTATTAATGCGGCCACGCTGTGACTCATGGGTTTCACCCAGAAAAGCACGTTGGCCTCTGGTAACCAAACCTTCACCTTTTCTTCAGAAGGGCTCACCCACATAATTAATGTTGGGAAAAGTCTGTGGCCTATTTAATTGGGGCCAGATTTTTTGTAGATCAGAAAGATGCTTAATTGATTCATCTAACCAACGAAGCAACTAAATATTAAAATCATTCATTATATGCTGTGGACTTGACATAACTTGGAGAGAGAAGAGAGAGAGAGAGACCCCCTTACTTAAATTCCATTTCTACTTAATACGATAGCAGGTTTTAACATCGTAAAGGGGGTGGTGGTGTTTCCCTTGTTTTCTAATCGATCATATTTTCTGATTTTATGCTTCTGCATCCAAAGTTTTACTGCCTTTGTGGCCACGATCCCGTCAAGCTGAAGAAGACTTCACTGAAAGCAATTCTGCAGGCGGCTGTCTGTCCCCCATTAATTTTCCACTGCAAAACTAGAATTTTAGGAATTGTGCAAACGGATTGTCTCTTCAGAACTCGGGAGAAAACATCCAAGGACTGTTCCTTCGGCATATCTCCTATGAACGCAATGGAGGTAGGTATCTTGTTTCAAATGAACAGTGGAAAATATATATATATTAAGAAGGGACTTGCCTTTTCGAGCATTGGATGGGGGGGGAAAAACGCCAAAGAAACCTCTTAACAATTTCCCGTAACAAAGCGCAGCATCAACAGTCATTCCCTGAGACCACAGCCATGCCTCTCAACTGATATCGAGGGATTTTTTGCTACGTGGGGTAATCTTATAAAAACCTGTATCCTTTCCTGGGATGTGTGGAACCCTGCTTGGAAGGTCTGATGGAGAATTCCCAGGAATTCACGGGGAAAAAAATACTACAATTCTTCAAATCAAAAATCTGATATTGGAATATATGGTGTATTCCCCCATACACCCCCAACCCCATATATCAAGGTTCTGGGAACATACTGCAGCATCAGATAATAGTAACAACAACAACAACAACAACAACAACAACAACAACGATGATGATGATCACTCAGACTGACTACAAACAACGTCACAACATAGTTGCTCCGATGGTCCACTGGAACTTGTGTCACAACTACCATCTGCCTGTAGCGAAGAACTGGTGGGATCATAAGCTTGAAAAAGTGGTCGAAAATGAGCATGCAAAACTACTGTGGGACTTCCGAATACAGACTGACAAAGTTTTGGAGCAAAACACCCCGGATATCATGATTGTGGAGAAGAAAAAAGCGTGCATCATCGACATTGCCATACCTGGTGACAGCAGAATCGATGCAAAACAACTTGAAAAAAAAATCACCAGATATCAAGACTTGAGAATCGAACTGCAGAGACTCTGGCATAAACCAGTGCAGGTGGTTCCAGTGGTACTGGGCACACTGGGTGCTGTGCCTAAAGACCTAGGCAAGCACTTAAAAACAATTGGCGCTGACAAAATCACCCTTGGTCAGCTGCAGAAGGCCACCTTACTGGGATCTGCTCGCATAATCCGCCAATACATCACACAGTCCTAAACGCCTGGGAAGTGTTCGACTAGTGATTTGTGATACGAAACCCAGCATAGTTATCTCGTTTGCTGTGTGTCATTTTTGTGTATAATAATAATAATAATAGTAATCTGAATCAGTTCACAATCCAGAGAGAACACAACAGGGCAACCGTAGGGAAAAAAAAAATCAAACTTAAAAGCACGACAAAGAGCTGCGGACCACCTATCCTTGCTTTTGACGACAATATTGTAATTGTAATGTTCTCGTAAGCCGCCTTGAGTCGCCATGTGCGAATAGGCGGCGATATAAATTCCCTAAAATAAATAAATAAAAAGATAGGCAAGCGTTCAAATGGGGACGACGTCTGGAGCACGCACTTGCCATTGCAAAACCCTCATTTTTATTTCATTCCCTCGTTTGCCAGATTTGGCCAAGGCGACGGAGGAAAAACCCAGCGTAAATAAATACTAATAAAAATAATAAATACAGAAGTCAGCCTGCTTAGCAACTGTTTACACGCTCATTACTTTATAACGATGATGTGCATGACGGGGGAGAAAGGGGGTGGAAAACACACACACACACACAAACACACACACCCCAACCAACCGCCCAATACCAAACCCACCCCAATTACAAGTGATGGGTAGAAGGGAGGGGAAAGGCTTGTGTAAATAAATATTTAAGCAAGATCTGCAGCTGAACCATCTGTTAGGGCACCAATAATAATAAATAATGAGTCTGAAAGAAAAAAAAGAAATGTAAATAGAGAGAGGATGAAAAAGACTCCGCTGCACCTCAAAGAGGCTCGTTTTGGCGAAGTCCATAAAGGCAACTTCTTCCGACAGCTTTCCGCAGCGCCTCTTTGACCAAACCGTTTAAGCCCATGGTGCTCCAGAGAGATATAATGCAAACCCTCTCTGTGTGCACCCCCACACACCCCAAATGTGGAGCTCGAAATCCCCATTTCCCAAAGGCACCACAGGGTGCATTCAATTAACTTAAAAGAGGCTGGACGGATGGATGGAGAGGTCCCGGCTGTCACGAGACTGGCAGGCTACGAAAGAAATCGAGAGAAATCACTCCAGTCATTTTCCCGGACGCTCCATCGTTCCTTCCAACAGTTCCACATGTTACGCTTCGGAGGGTTTCATGGCGCAGGGTGAATCAAAGGGGTCTTGGAAGTGGGGAAGCCAGGGGCTCTTCAAAGGCAGGGAGGGTGTCACCGGCAAAATGGACACTGTCTCAGGTCGGGCACCGCCTGGACTTTGGCCCAAGAGATCGTCTCTCTCTCTTTCTCTCTTTTTCTGTGTCTTTCTTTCTCTCTCTCTCTCTCTCTCTGTCCTTTCTCTCTTTCTGTCTTTCTCTTTCCGTCTCTCTCTTTCTGTTTTACTGTCTGTCTTTCTTTTTCTCTCTTTCTGTTCTTTTCTCTCTTTCTGTCTTTCTCTGTGTGTGTGTGTGTGTCTTTCTGTCTTTCTTTCTCTTTCTCTCTCTTTGTCTTTCTGTCTTTCTTTCTCTCTCTTTATGTTCTTTTCTCTGTCTTTCTCTGTCTTTCTCTCTCTCTCTCTCTCTCTCTCTGTGTCTTTCTCTCTTTCTCTTTCTGTCCTTTCTCTTTCTATCTGTCTTTCTTTCTCTCTCTCTTTCTCTTTCTGTCTTTCTTTCTCTCTCTCTTTCTGTTCTTCTTTCTCTCTCTCTGTCTTTCTTTCTCTCTCTGTTTTTCTGTCTTTCTTTCTCTTTCTCTCTCTGTGTGTGTCTTTCTCTCTCTCTCTTTCTGACTCTCTTTCTCTCTTTCTGTCTCTGTCTTTCTCTCTCTCTCTCTTTCTTTCTTTCTTTCTTTCTTTCTTTCTTTCTTTCTTTCTTTCTTTCTTTCTTTCTTCTTTCTTTCTTTCTTTCTTTCTTTCTTTCTTTCTTTCTCTCTCTCTCTTTCTCTCTCTCCCCCTTTTGACTTTTAACCCTAAGACGGCCTTGCTAATCTCGAGAAATGCCGGCTCTGATGGAAACTGAGAGAAGAAACTGCCTTTTGCAGCTGGCAAAGGACAAACCCTCGTCTCTCCTTGTCTTGTATGAGAGAGAGAGAGAGAGAGAGAGAGACAGCTTAAAATAATGAGCTTATGACTGCTAATCAAGCCGGCCCCACCGTGTGATTTAAGGGCCCCGAGGGGAAGGACTTCGGGCAGGGAAAACAATGAGCAGAAGAAAGTGTGCTCCGTGTGTGCGCTCGTGTGCGGGTGGGCGCAAGAGACGTGCATCGGAGTTGCCCTTCAGATGCAGCAATGCAAAAGTTACTCCTATGGCTCAGAATCAATTCTGATCTTCAAAGAATGGAGGGGGGGGGGGAAGGGGAGAAAGAAGGGGGGGAAAGAAGAAGAGAGGGAAGGAGAAATTAAACACCTGATTACTTCGTTTCTGACTACCCTTATATCGTGGCTACCTGGTTGGATAATGTCTGGTTAAATGCGCTGTTAAATCATT